TGCATTTTTTCCGTGGAGCTTTTTACCAACTGTGACTACAAAACAGGATGTTTCTCAAACATTAAAGGAAAAAGGGCAAAGAGTCAAGTTTGGCTTTTGCAAGAGAAAGGGAGAGAAAAATAATGGTAGTTCCAGAATGTGCTCGCTAAGAAGAGCTCCTCCATGGCAGTGGGGCCAGGCTGCTTGCTTGGTGCTGTGGAGTGACCTGGCAAGAAGTGCAGTTCCTAGAGACTGGATCACACAAACATCAGCAGCACCTCTTGACTCTATACCTTTCCCATGTGCACTTCCTGCAGCATCCCTGGGCACCACGTGCCCACCCGACAGCAGGCACGGCTGGGCCACAGGTGGCAATTTGCCAGGCGCTGGCAATCACACCAGCAAATATCTGCAGAATTGGCAGGGGTTTATCCTTGCTGACCTCATCCTTTCACTTGTGAGTGCGGGGCACGCCAGTGAAGGTGGAGTTTCATTTTCAACCTTACTGCAGGAAACCAGAGTTTCTAAAAATACTGTGAAGCTCTGACCTGAAATTTCATAGAATGGCTTTAGAAGGGACCTTAGAGATCATCTAATTCCAACCCCGCTGCCATGTGCACAATTTAGGACATATGCTTGTTAAATCCAGAAAACTCAGATGAAAATTCAATGTCATGTACAGGTTTTTTTTCCCCCGTGTAGAAGTCTTTCTGTATCATATCTCAAACAAAAACTACATTACATGTGATTATATAGACACTGAATTCAAAGGGGAATGTCTGCAGCAGTAGTCTCTAAAATATTCAAGACTGGAATGAAGTGGGAAGTCAGGCCTTTTCTGCTTATTTTTGATAGTAAACTAAAAATTCACATTGGGTTTGTCATTTTCATGATAATGTGTGTGGTCATGGAACAGTCAGATTGCAGCAGTGCATGTTGGCATCAGTTGTTTTTCCAGAGAACTTAAATTTATGAGGTTATTATTTGCTTGTTTTCTTCATACCTAATCACAAATTTGGATGAGAGTAGTCTTAGTTAAAACTTAAGAACTTTCAAGTCTGACATTGCTCACAGTAAACATTCTTGAGGCTGCAAAGAAACAAACTAGATAAGCCTGGTAGGAGCAAACTTGACATTCCTGGTCATTATGAAATAAAATTCAGAATAATTTTGATTAAAACCCCAACCCTTCTAGCTGGGGTTCTAGTTCTAGTAATTAACCCTTAGAGTTAATTTCTAACACATTTATATACTAGACAAACCCAATAAAAACTTTACTTTACTTTACTTTAGTTTCTTTTACGTATTCACATGATAGACCTTGCAGATTGCTTAATAAGAAAAATGTTCCTATAAGTGAACTCTTTTGAATAGTTGCCAATGGGAAGTCCTGTGACTGGAATAAACCAAAATTAAACTGAAGAAACCTGGAAGAAGAATGATTTTGCATTTGCCAGAAGATACATGGAAAATCATAACTCTTCCTAATTTATATTTTGGCAAGGTGTATGATCCCAAGATGAGAAAACAGACATACAAGATAAATACTGTATCTAGGAATGCCACATTGGAATAGAATCCTACTTGAAAAAATAATTTCAATATTATTTTAGAACTATGATGCAATTTTTTATAAAAGGATCTTGTAGCCCTAGAAATCCCAATGACCTCCTAGAGGAAGACTCAGGACAGAAAGAGAAAGTTGAATGGCCAGTCATTCATTGTCTCTTCCTCTTCTGCCCTACCCTCCATACCACCTATAACACCAGTTATTAAAGTCACACAATTGTTCCAGAAAGAAAGTGGTGGCACAGTTCCAGGTTAACACTGCCAAGACAATATCCAATCCTAATGAGAGATTAAATTGTAGAATTAGGGTTGTTTTTTTTTTTTTTTTCCCTATCTGCTCAAAAAAGTTGGTTTTGGACGAACAAACCAGCAAAATTAAATTAAACATGTGGTTGATAAATGAAGTGCAGAAGAGTGTATGGAATAAAAACCTGGCTACCACAGGTACTTAAAGTGCTGTTGGCTCCTATGCACTGTTATTGCACATCTTTTGCTGAAAACTGTATACCTTTCACAATTTTGAACCTCCTGTGTGTTTCCTCATATTTTCAATCAAATTATTACATACTAGAAATATGCATAAGGGAAATTATTCTACACATTTTATGGTGTGCTGTTGCTTGTAGCAGTAATTGAAGTACCTTTTCCACTTATGAAAGTACTAATTTTATTTGGTTTTATTGCTTTTCTAGATGCAATTATTTATTTAGTGTGTTTTGGCTTTATTAAATTATGTTTACTATAGGAACATCATAAAAATGTATGAAAGCAACACATCAGCCACTACTGCCCAATGACTTATTTTGGGGAATCTAGTGTTATTTTTCATATCCAAACATAATAGAATAAGGTAAGAATAAAGAGATAATCTACACTGGAAAACAATGCAATTTCGAGATAATATAATAAAACACCTGGACAATATGATTTCATAAATCTTACTTCTAAAATTTACATGAGCTGGGCATTAGAGTGGCTATTTTAGGACATGCGGCATTTTCTAAATGGAAACATAAGAAATATGATTAAACAAGGGGAAAACATATACAGATTTAACTTGTCCTGAACAACTGGTTCCTACAGAACAATGAAAATATTTCTGCCTCAACAGATGTCTGTATCAGACTTAGGAAATGTAGAGTTTTACTCCAGCAGTGATCAACAGCTTTGTTTCAAAAGTTTTATCAGATTCTTTTTTAGGAGGCTTTTCATAAGCAGTGTGAAGGTCTGATGTGACACAAAAGCTGGCAGCAAAATTCTCAATACCTTCAAACAGAAACTCAATATATTGTCATACACTGAAAATAAAATCTGCAGCATCTGTTGGTGTTATTGTGGTGCCCACCTTCAATATACCTCCTGTATTTAGCTTCTGTTATTAGCATAACTAAATAGACAGGTGCATAGCATTTGAAATCTCAAAAGGAATGTCTAACTTAACATAAAAGCAAAAAATAACTGAAGTGCCTAGAAACTGAGGCTGATACTTTCAGGATAGAAAGAAGAGGGTAATATAAAAATTTTTCAGGCATCACAGCAGTTGACTAAGTTTTTTTCAAGTCTTTAAGCCAAGGCCAGGATAGGAGAGATGTCCTTCTAAACACTGTGGTTCAGTTCAGTCTTAACATATTAACAAAGAAAATATATGTTTGATTTCTCTTACAGTCAAGATCTGTCTGGATCCACAGGAATTCCTTTTGTCATTACACCAGAGAATTCAGTGAATGCAGGAAATGTTCTGTGTTGTCAACAGCAGAGCATTTGATAGTGAATGAGGACCAGAAATTAAGATGAAATAGGGCAACACATGGAAGTGGGGCAGGGAGGGAAGACAGTGTGACCAGTGAAATGCAAAGGTGCCAGCCCTGCAGGCAGTGCCCTGCAAGGGGCTTGCACTCACTTTGCACAGATCGGTTGACTTCAGTGACACCACTCGCAGCAGTGACACCACTTGCACAGATCTTTGAGAATTTGATCTGCAGGGAAGAAATAAGCTCAAACTAATGCTGGAAAAGTGTAAACTTTCTCACCCTGATGTAAACAACCATAAATGCTGAGTGTGAGCAACTGTTGAGGCAAAAGGAGAGTATTCCAGAGCAGTGCAAAGGACAGAAAGCAGGGAAGCACAGGGACTGATTTCAGAGGATATTAGATGTTTATCTTTTTAGACAGAAGACAATACAATACTTACTCAAACACATTTCAAGGAATCAGGAATCATTTGTGTTAAATCAGAAATAAATAAGTAATAAATAAAATGTGTAACTTTTGGCCTTAGCAGATATTTACAATTTCTTCCTAACATTTAAGTACTGTGTACTTCAGTTTTAAGTTTACAACTGCTATTTCTTAGTCTAAGAGGTGCAACCTTTTCATGGTTACATCTTGTGACTGCAAAAATTTTCATGGCTGAAACGTTTTGGTTTTTTTAATTGTCTTCTGCACTTCAACTTGATGACACCAGTTATTTGGGTAGAACACAGTACTCAAGAAAATTCTCCAGTTCTTCACTTGCACAGGGCTGTAGAAATTCACCCTTTTTCAGGGAGCATAAACCTCAATCTTCTACAGGTAAACTAAAATCTATTTCAAGTACTGAGGGTCTCACATACAATTCCAGAGCAACTATTTTATTTGTTGCTGCATTTTCTGAGGTGAATTAGACATGAACAACCCACTCCCACCTGTGAGCAAAACACATGCATGAGCACAATACAAGATTTTCCTCCTCTTAAGCCACCAGAGTCTGGATGAAGCTGCCAATAGCAGTAGGCAGCTTCTGCCACACATGAGAAATTTGTTCAGTAAATCTTATTGACCATCTCCCTTAGCTAAATTTTATAGTTTTAAGTCAAATTCAATCATTGTAATACAGCAGACAGTTTTGGTGGTATGGCCTTTATTCTAAACTCTGAACTCATCTATAGCTTGGAAAAAGTATTGAAATTCCACTGGAATGGCAGTAACTCTATCTAGTTTTTTCTGCCTTCTGCGTATTTTTAACATTTTTTGGTTCTGTTAAGAACTATACTGAGAGGCTCTATGAGTGGCTGTGATTAGAGATGTAACTGGTCCAAGGTTTACAGCTGGAAAGCACATCTGGCATATAGCTTTCAAATTGTGAAATCTGCAATAAATAAAATTGGGAAATTTAGTATTAAGAAGGCTGAACATTTTGCTAACATACATCTTTCAAATCTGTAATATTGGAATTGTCAAAATATTCTGTGTTTGTAAAATTAGAAGCAAATCTGAAATTCCTACTTAGCCCTGTTTCCTATTTTTAATACTGTTTTTATTTCATCTTCTATGAACTAGCTCTAATGCAGAGTAAACTGCTTAACAACCTGGTAGAATTAGAATGGGTGGGAGAAAAACTATACCAAATGTTATAAAATACCTACATTTAGTGGAAACAACATCGTAACAAATTTGTTGGTTGTGTTTTGCAGCCAAAAATCGCAGAGGAGAATTTAACATATGCTGAACTTGAACTGATGAAGCCAATTCAGGAAGCTAAAGGCATTTCCAGTATGACAGTCTACGCACAGATACTCTTTGAGGAGAACAAGCTGTAATAGTTCATGCCTGTATAAATGTCCTTTGTCTGTGTTCTATTTAATTCTTGCTGTGCTGTTTATTTATAAAAATCATTCAAATGTCCTTATTTTTTTATTTCCATTCATGCACTTCTATTTTTCTATGAGACTCTTAAACATGATGTAGTTGAAAGTAGTCATAGAAAAAGCAGCTGGTCAACAAGTGACATCCCAGACAGCCTTTGTGGTGTTCTGTTCCTCTGCTGGAAATGGACTGAAGTTCCACCGCAGGCATTTTGAGCACTAAACATTATTCCTTCTTTACTGCTGATATGATGAGTCCAGCTGCAAGTGTCAGTATCTTAGCAAGCCTCAGGAGGACAAACAGCAGGATCCATGCCCATCAACCTGCTACTGAAGGAGAAGACCACTGACCAGGAAAATGGCCACTTTAATGCATTTTGCCCCATCAGAAAAATAATAACCCAGTAAATCTGAGACTTTTTGCTACAGCCAAGGAAAAGCTAAAATTACTTTTTCTACTTCTTTTCCCCTTCTTCAGAAATAGTTAAAAAGGTTTGTGTTCTATATTTTCAAATTCCCTTTCTAAATGACATTGTCTTTAAAAATTTATGCTACTTTTAGTATGGTGTTTAAAATAAAATATTTCAAAATAATATGGAGGAAACATTTATAGTTAAACTCCCATGATTTAAGGAAGAATATTCATAGCTTGGGAATATCTCCCAGGATTTGATTTTTTAAAATTCTGATTGAGAATAGGAAAAAATTGTTAGTGAGTAAAAAACTGAGAGAACCAGGACACTGTTTGTGGTCTTGGTTTAGTTTGGTATTTCCAAACCTGCAAAAGTTTCCTCCTGTAGCCTGCACCAATAAGCTGCTGATCTAGAGGAAAGAATTACACAGCTTCTCCTTCAGTATGGAACAGACTCTGTGAAGCCCTCCTGACTTTAGAGTTATTTCTTTGGAAAGACCAGGGCTCAGGAGATAGGGAAATGGGCCTAATGTCAGGACACAAAATAACATTCCTTTTTCTTTACCTCTTGATAACTGAGAAGGCATTCTTCTTTTTCCTTTGATACACATTCATGGGAAATGAGCTATTCTGTGCCATCCTGGGCATTTCAGTCACGAGTAGCTGGACTGATGTTTTCAAGCTCATTTATCTTCAGTGTCTAAATTTCCCCAAAGCTCAGTGATAATTCGAATACCTAACATCTTTCAGCTCTTGGGAAGATTTAACCCTTGAGTAACTGTGCAGTTCATGGAGATGTAGAGGCCTGGGCTCTTCAGGTCACCATCAGGTCACGAAGAGCCGATACTTGGCACGTGCCAGACCTTCTCCAGGTGTGTGAGGGAGCCCCATGACAGGCTGCTCATCCAGCAGTATTTATTGTGGATTTTGGAGCACTCCTTGGGCTCTGGAGTCATAATTAAGATGGCCCAAGTTGCTTCTTCCTTTACAGGTCACAGGCTTTTAGTGACAGAACAGCTTCTCACCAGGGCTCAGAGCAGAGCTGGGAATCACCACAGGAACACTCGTGCCCTTGTTCCTGTTACGGCGTGGGAGTGCAGGAGAGGAGGGTGGCGGGACAGTCAAGGATGGGGACATACATCCAAGGACAACCATGTGACAAAGCACATCACTGCCTTTTGGAGGGGTTCACCAGAATAAGCGAGTCTGTATAAACTGCTTTTTAACTTTTTTGAACAGTGGTAGAGATTAGGCAGCACACAATCTGCTATTGTCTAGCCAGGATCTGTAAATATAAAATGCAGTCATCTTCTTCCACATTGGATAAAAATCTCTTCTATAAAAAGGTATTTAGGAAAAGCTTATCAGGCTGATCATTATGTACAGTACTAATTCCAATTCTATTTCTTCATCAAAACAATTCTTTGCAAACTAAGGGCAGCTTTCAAAAATATATTTGTTAGTAATTATTTGCATTTTTAATGTTTGCATTTGTGAGTTGTCAAAAAAGATGTTTCATCTTTGCATTATTCCAGGATTTAATCACCCACCAAAAGGGCATGGTAGCTTTCCTTGTTCTCTGATCAGGTGTTGGACTTTCATTGACAACAGCAGTCAGCTCATGGACCAAAACCCAAATTGGTGCTAATGAGTGATTGAAAATTCAGGGATCAATTTTGAAACAGCCAGTTTAACTGACTATTCAGAGAGGACATCTGTAATGCAGACAGCTGTTCAAAAGGCCTTAGAAAAATATAGAATTTATTAGTTGCTACTTTGGAATTTAAAATCCTAACACATTAATGATTTGATCACTTAGCTGTGAAAACTTTCAGATTTGATTACATTTCTTTTGCATAGAACTGGCCATTGTGCCCATTATTCTGAAGAATCCTCTACTGTATATTTATGCCCAGCATGTTAATGATTACCATTCTTTATGTATTAATATCCTATATATTCCTGTTTATATTTGATATCTAATTCCCCAAAATAATAGTTAATTGAACTGAATAAATTACCTTTTTTTTTTAAGATTTGTTGTCTTAGTCTCTGTAGGATTTATTGCTTCCTAGAGAGGGATATTACTTCCTAGACTGAAGGACATATGCTTATCTCTTACACAGCATTTAGAAAGTCACAGTATTTGGAATTGAATTCTTAATTCTGCATAAAATTCTAGCTTTTAAAATGTTTTATATTTGAAACTGACTTCAGATGTAGCAGAATCCTGAAAGGCAGCAGGCCAGCTGAGTGAAACAAGGCCAGAAATGTGACTTGGAAGTACACGCATCTTCCCAAGAAGGTATTTCCTGTATCTTTTCTTATGCAATGTCCACCTAGATTTAATAAAGTCAGATGGTATCACCAGGGAAAGGAAAAATATCATCCTGCAATTAATTGCATATCTGTAAGTGTCAAAGCAGCCCACTGAAAGCCTACAGAGAAGAAAATTTCATTGAGTGTAATATGCTTTAGTATGAGAACTGCAGAATAAATGGATTTAACTCCTTTTAAGAGGAATTGCCAGGCCAAATTAATCCCTGGTGTAATTCTCTCTGGCTTTAGCAGAGCAGCAGCAGAGCTGAAGGTGGCCCATGGTTCTTTTATGACAGGAGTTCCCATGAAAACTCTTACTACCTTATTAAGCAGCAGTTGTAGTCTGTTGAGTCACGCTATTTTGGTTACTCCTTCTGTTGTCATTGGTAAAACATGGCTTTGTGCTGAAATCTTAACAAATACAGCTCTATTAGCTTCACACCAATTTAACACTGGATTGTTAAACGTTAATGTACTGCACCCTATAGCTTTAAATAGAATTAGATATGTTTACAGCTTTGGTTAAATGCACCTTGTTCCTCCACATTAAATTTTATTACTAGAATCCTCCATCAGCAAATAGGAGTAAATCATATTACTGTCGCAGGCTGTGGGGGGGTTGAATCTGCAGCCCAAGGAAAAGGTATTTTATTACTCTTTATTACAACTTTCTAATTGGTAGGTGTGGTCAGCATGTCATTATCTCTGCAATTGCAAGCAAATTATTTGTTTTAGTATAACTGGAACGTAATTGTGGGGTTCTCTTCATTAAAATGTTCAATAAACTTCTGTCCTTAGCCAAGGTGTAGACAGGTGCTGCTGGCAAAGAAGGACCCAGATCAGAAAAGATGGCATTTAATGTTTACTTTGTAGGTTAAATTCTGCTTTTAAAGGGCTTCTCCAACACACCTCGAGTGAGTGACTTCTGGGTGCCAAGATCCTTTTTGGCTTCAGTCTAACCTGCCAGGGTAAAAGATAAATTCCTAAATTTTACTGCATAATAAGTAGTCCTCTGAATTTTCTGCACTGATGTGAAATGTACTCATTCCATGTGCTTTGTTTCAGCATCAGGTCTGATTCCATGTCGCTGCCTTGGTTGGGCTGATCAAAAGACTGCATGTCAGTGGAGGACTCTTGCACAGCAATAGGAATTTCAGGAATCCTCCATGTCTTGGCACCTTGTTGTGTCTCTCTTTTTCCTTACCAGCATTGCTGGGCTGTTTCCAAACCCCACAAAGGGCTTTTCAGTCTTCCACCACTATGGTCAGAAATGTTTTGGCAGCCCTTTGTGAGCCTCCTGCTGAGACCTGCTCAGGTTTTCATTTTATGTAACAGAGAGAGTAACTGCAGCTGTATTTCCCTGCTGTGAGGATCTAAGACCTGGTCTCTGAGAATCTGTCTCTGCATCTTACAGCAGAGAAGCAGGAGGTCATGTCCACAGAGGCCATAGGCAATCTCACTTGGATTGTGATCCTGGCTAGGGAAAAACTTAGGGGAAAGTGACTGGTTTGGTCAAACACATGGACGTAATTTGAGTTAAGCCTTATTAAAATCCTATCTCTTTGTCTGTAGCAGTATTTTGCCATAAGGAAGTGAATGAGAACACAAGAGTGCTTTTGGGCTTTGTACATAGAGCTGTGACAAGATCACCTCTGGGCCCTTTGTCTTCCTGTTCCAGGCTGGCATCACCTTGGGCACAGTTAACAGTGATACACAACTACTCACAACTCCACATCTTTCCTTGAGAAATTAGCCATTGACACTTTTGGGTTACCCTGAAGAATGAAGAGGCCTGCAGGAACTTCTCTGACTGCTAAGACAAACTCTCCTGACACTGGGGAGGGTAATGGACCACAGCGCAGAACAAAGACATCACATAAAATATACAGGACAAAAAAACACGTGTGGATGGGAACAGCTGTCACTTTCAAACAGTAACTGGATGCATGTTCTCTCCTTACCATTAAAGCAAGAAGTCATTGAATACTGCTCAGTGGTGCTGCACCATTTCCTCCACCTCTGATTCTGCCTGCTGTGCATAGGAACTAGAATGAAAACTGCTCAGTGATCTCTGTGAAAGAGTTTTTCAGGCAATCAGTTAAGCAGCTTTACACAACTCTTTCCCCTGCACTAGTCCTGTGGGGCTGAAGCCAGAGAGTTAGGCCAGGAATTAAGTTGGCCTTGCAGTTCTTAAAAGAAACTAAATCCATTTTTTTCTACACTTCTCACACTAAAGTATATTATACTTGGTGAAATTTTCTTCTCTGTAGTCTTTCACTGGGTTACTTTGATACTTATAGATATGTAATTA